GCAGAGAGTGATGGCATGGTGGTGTATAGTAGGCTGGTGAAGTGTGAGTGTACAGCAGGGCGAGCATGGGCGAGGCAAGGAACAGCCACTTCCTCCTCTTCTCTCCACAAACATGTGGAGAAACTCACACTGGACGCAGAAATCACCACAAAACTCACCTCTGGCTTGCTGAAATAGCTGTGCTGAGCTGAACAACAACAGCAGAACATTCAAGTGACAGTGAACGCATGACTTGAGAAACAGTGTGGGATGCTGTAGCGTGGGGTCATTTGGACGCCACTTACAATTCTCGAAGAAATTCGCCAAATTTCGGCTGGATCCTACTTGCACCTGTGTCTGGATGCTGAAACATGCAGACACGACATCAGGATAACTCGTTGAGAGATGGATGTTACTAGTGTAGGGTGACAAAGTGAAGTTGACTTCATACCTCTTCGTTCCTCTCTCCGGGCAAACACAGCTGCTGCGACTACCGCTTCCCACCATTTATAATCAGTTTGTTTGGTGGCTCTTGCAGCGGAGCGGGGTTCAATGATAAACGTCTTCAGAGGCTTCTTACTTTATTTGCAAAGTCGTGGTGGGTACACAGGCTTGTGTGTTGGATGCCCATGGCCGGGGAGGGCCATCCCACATGGGAGAGAGAGAGTAGGACTTGTGTCTTGCTTCTAGGCTGCTGAGTGAGTGAGCGAGTGCGAGTGGGACCAGCATCCCACTGATCTGGGCAGGCCGAGAGAGGGCAGCACCTGAGTGCCGCGAAATATGAACTTAGCTTGCAGACAGCATAGGCTGTCTGTGCAGACAATACAGGCTTTCTACAGTCAGTAAGTCATTCTGTCAAGTCAGTAAGTCAGTTAAATCAATTAAGTCAGTGAGTCAGTCATTTAAGTCAGTAAGACAGGCAAGTCTATAAGTCACTCAAGTCAGTAAGCAATTCAGTCAAGTCAGTAAGTCAGTCAAGTCAGTAAGTCATTTAGTGAAGTCAGTTAAGTCAGTAAGTCAGTCAGTAAGACAGCCAAGTCTGTAAGTCAGTGAAGTCAGTAAGTCAAGTCAGTAACTAAATTCAGTAAGTTAGTCAGTTAAGTCAGTCAAGCCGGTAAGTCAGTCAGTCAAGTCAGTAAGTCCTTCAGTCAAGTCAGTTAGTCAAGTCAGAAAGTCAGTCAAGTCAGTAAGTCAGTCATTTATTTCAGTCAAGTCAGTAAGTCAGTCAATCAAGTCAGTAAGTCATTCAGTCAAGTCAGTAAGTCAGTCAAATCAGTCAAGTCAGTGAGTCAGTCATTTAAGTCAGTAAGACAGGCAAGTCTATAAGACAGTCAAGTCAGTAAGTCATTTGGTCAAGTCAGCTAAGTCAGTAAGTGAGTCAGTAAGACAGCAAAGTCTGTAAGTCAATTAAATAAGTAAGTCAGTCATTTATTTCAGTCAAGTCAGTAAGTCAGTCAGTTAAGTCAGTAAGTCATTCAGTCAAGTCAGTCAATCATTTAAGTCAGTCAAGTCAGTGAGTCAGTCGTTTAAGTCAGTGAGACAGGCAAGTCTATGAGTCAGTCAAGTCAGTAAGCAATCCAGTCAAGTCAGTAAGCCATTTGGTCAAGTCAGCTAAGTCAGTAAGTCAGTCAGTAAGACAGCAAAGTCTGTAAATCAGTCAGTGATTTATTTCAGTCAAGTCAGTAAGACAGTCAGTCAAGTCAGTAAGTTATTCAGTCAAGTCAGTCAATCAGTTAAGTCAGTAAGTCAGTCAAGCCAGTCAGTCAAGTCAGTAAGTCAGTCAGCTAAGTCAGTCAAGTCAGTCAAGTCAATCAGTCATTTAATTCAGTCAAGTCAGTAAGTCAGTCAGTCAAGTCATTCTGGCAAGTAAGTCAGTCAAGTCAGTAAGTCAATCAGTCAAATCAACCAGTCAGTTAAGTCAGTAAGTCAGTCAAGCCAGTCAGTCAAGTCAGTAAGTCATTCAGTCAAGTCAGTCAATCAGTTAAGTCAGTAAGTCAGTCAAGCCAGTCAGTCAAGTCAGTAAGTCAGTCAGTTAAGTCAGTCAAGTCAGTCAAGTCAATCAGTCATATAATTCAGTCAAGTCTGTAAAACAGTCACTCAAGTCAGTAAGTCATTCAGACAAGTCAGTAAGTCAGTCAATCAGTAAATCAGTCATTAAGTCAATCAGTCAGTCAGTTAAATCAATAAGTCAGTCAAGTCAATCAGTCATTTAATTCAGTCAAGTCAGTAAGTCAGTCAGTCAAGTCATTTAGGCAAGTCAGTCGGTCAAGTCAGTATGTCAATCAGTCAAGTCAGTCAGTCAGTTAAGTCAGTAAGTCAGTCAAGCCAGTCAGTCAAGTCAGTAAGTCAGTTAGTTAAGTCAGTCAAGTCAATCAGTCATATAATTCAGTCAATTCAGTAAATCAGTCAGTAAAGTCAGTAAGTCATTCAGTCAAGTCAATAACTCAGTCAAATCAGTCGAGTCAGTGAGTCATTCATTTAAGTCAGTAAGACAGGCAAGACTATAAGTCAGTCAAGTCTGTAAGCAATTCAGTCAAGTCAGTAAGTCATTTAGTCAAGTCAGCTAAGTCAGTAAGTCAGTCAGTAAGACAGCCAAGTTTGTAAGTCAGTCAAGTCAGTAAGTCAGTAAGTCATTTAGTCAAGTCAGTTAAGTCAGTAAGTCAGTCAGTAAGACACCCAAGCCTGTAAGTCAGTCAAGTCAGTAAGTCAGTAAACCAAGTCAGTAAGTAAAGTCAGTAAGTTAGTCAGTTAAGTCAGCCAAGCCAGTAAGTCAGTCAGTCAAGTCAGTAAGTCCTTCAATCAAGTCAGTCAATCAGTTAAGTCAGTAAGTTAAGTCATTCAGACAATTCAGTAAGTCATTCAGACAATTCAGTAAGTCATTCAGACAAGTCAGTAAGTCAGTCAATCAGTAAATCAATCAAGTCAGTCTGTCAGTTAAATCAGTGAGTCAGTCAAGTCAATCAGTCATTTAATTCAGTTTAGTCAGTAAGTCAGTCAGTCAAGTCATGCACGCAAGTCAGTCATTCAAGTCAGTAAGTCAATCAGTCAAGTCAGTCAGTCAGTTAAGTCAGTAAGTCAGTCAATCCAGTCAGTCATGTCAATAAGTCAGTTAAGTCAGTCAATTCAATCAGTCATGTTGAGAAATGGGATTACCAACTAAAATATAATTTATAAATTCAAATATAGGGAACACTTAGCTGATAAAAGACAGCAAATCGTCTACACAGCCGCCCCTGCAGACGAGGTCTTGAATTGTTGTCATGATCATCTCTCAACGGGATGAAATGAGTTATAATTTGTAAGATTATAAATTACCCCTAGGGGGTGTTATGTCAGCATGTTTCATTCACTGATTCTGACAAATTACGTACTTGTTTGGACTCAAAAGTCCGCACCTCACTGCCGACTATAGGTTGATTACAAACTCCTTGCAACTCAAGAACTGCGCAGTCCCCCGCACTACAAGAAATTCGTAACCTACCTTGCTCTTGTAGCCTGAGCTATGGTGTTTTTCACACCTTCGACAGATATCGGTGACTTGATAGAAGCTGAAGTGTCCTTGGATGTCCACGTCTTCTATAGTCTAGGAATACGCACATTGGTACACTGTTCCACAAGATTTGTCTTTATTGTTCACAATTTTATCACAAAAGAAGCTGATCACACTTCTCTTAAGTGTTTATTGTGTTTTATGAGACACTTTGTTCACGTTAACGCACAGATCGTTCTTTGTTGGTTATCCTGGCATCAGTGTCACTCTCAGTAGAGTCAAAAGTAATCTGAAGAAGCCACAACACCCCACTCCATCACTGCCCCCAGCACAAAGGAAAAGCTGACCTAGTACTTTTGCTTCATTGCCACTTCCTCCATGAAGCAAAGCAGAATGCTTGATTCTTGCTGTCTTAAGCATAGACAATAATATACACTATCTTTACCATGATAATAAAGTGGGAGCAGGATTTTCCTTAATTGTCCTGGTAAGGTAAGAGATGGACTGTCTCTTATTAAACTACACTATGCAATACTGGACCGCACGGAGCGGCGGTTGCTTGTCCACATGTCGCATACTGGTACTGCATCTGGGATCAATTACTCGCTGTAGCAGTAAACAAGACATATGCCCCTTCTGAGAGGGCTGGGCCCCTCATGGCTGAAGGGGGCTGATATCCCCCTCCTTGAGAAAATTTCTCCACAAGTCATATAATTCAGTCAAGGCAGCAAATTAGTCAGTCAAGTCAGTAAGTCAGACAAGTCAGCAAGTCAGTCAAGTCAGTCAATCAGTAAATCAATCAGTCAAGTCAGTTAAATCAGTAAGTCATTCAAGTTAAGTCAGTAAGTCATTCCGTAAGTCAGTCAATCAGCAAGTAAGATGTTGTGTCCAGCATCTCTTCTCTATCATCAACTTCATCCAGCATCTTTTCTCCACCAACAGTTGAGAACATTTCTTCTCCAAGGTAAATGCTGTAGTATGTACTAGATAATTCCTTTGCATTGTTTTTCCTTATGAATCCAAGTAGTGATCTAATGCAGTTTGCTTCACAAACACTCCGTTTCCTGTTATAATAAGAGCATGGGAAGGTATGAAGTCAGGAGCAGGAATGGCCACTTTGGTGGCCATCATCACTAGCGACATATGACATAGTATTTTATTCATTTTAGTGTATATATCATGTTTCTATGCTATTAATATTGTTTACTATGCCATGTTAGATGAATCGTGATAGATAAATAAGCCGTAGAGTTGATATTAGCGAAATATTGAAGAATTTTTATGTGCCTTGAATTCCTCTGGAATGGATTAATGCAATTTAAATTAATTTAAATGAGGAAAATTGACTCGACATACGAGCAAAACGGGATGTGAGCAAGGTCACGGAATGCATCATACTCGTAAGTTGAAGTTCCACTACATAGGGCAGTATGGAAGAATTTCGATTTTCTTGTCAACACTGATATCCTAGAATTATATTGTTTGCTTTTACCATCTGCCTCTATTAACTACCAGGTAATTCCACACAAACCTTGCCAATCTCTGTAGCAACACGTTGACCAACATAGTCAGGGTGGACACAAATGCGCGTACAGTAGAGGATGCGGTCCTTCTTTGTGTCCACGACTTCGTCCGTGAGATTTCGTATTATATTCCGTGCTCGAAAAATTTCATCCTGAGAGATAAACAACTCACAATTAAAAAAAAGCCAAAGTAACCAATCAGTTAACAGACAGTGTAGATTTTGTTCACATAAATGTGTTAATTAAAATGTGTTAATTAAAATTATAGGGTTTGTAGTCAGGTTGTCGAAGCAGGAGCAGGTGGGATCACAGGGGAAAACCTTCCACTAGTCTAAGTAGGTCTTCGTCCAAAAGTTGGATAAGTATTGAAAATTCTTTGTATCAAGATCCCATGATTTTTGCAGTAAACTTACAGTTGTGATGAATGGTTTTGAAAACCCAAAATGGGATTGAGCCCACTTATGCAACATATGATATATAAACCATTTTTCGGCCATATGCTGCACTTTCTACAAGAGTGATGGGACTGAACACATCGATTCCAGGCTGAGGGACTGATTACCTCAAGCTCCTCATCCTTAATCATTTTACTTTGCATTGGACTGATGAAGTCACTGCATGGCGAACGTTTCTTAATACAGATTCCCATAAGTGTCTCAATCTCCAACTTGTGGTTTTCAAAAGCATTCATCACAACTGTCAGACACTGCAAATCATGGGATCTTGATACAAAGAATTTTCAATACTTGTCCATCCTTTGGAGAAGACTAGTTAGACTAGTAGAAGGTTCTACTATGATCCCAAAATCCTCCTGCTTCGACTCACCTGACTACAGCAATAAGCCACTTCTCCGGCCATTATAAAAAAAAGAAAAAACAAAAGAAACACTGTAACAGGCCTAATGGCCAGTGGAAGACAGGTCCAATTCTTCCACCAGCTTAAGCCAATGCCTTAACCCAGTGAGGTCAGACACGTCACATAAGGGAGGAGCACTGCATCCGACCTAGTAGTACACACTACTCATGTATTTATCCTACTAATTTTTGAAGCTACACAACGTCTAAGCTTCTATGACGGTACTCGGGAATTGTCCACATATCCACAACTCTATTACCAAACCAGTGCTTTCCTACTTCCTTCCAGAATCTGAATTTTTCCAATTTAAAGCCAATGCTTCCAGTCCTGTCTTTGACAGATATTTTTAGCACGTTATTTACATCCCCCTTTTTAAATTTCCTGTTTTCCATCATACACCTCAATTATATCCCCCCCCTAAGTTACGCCGTTCTAGGGAGTGCAGATTCGGGGCCCCTCATTCTATCCTCTTAGAAAAGATTCTGATACATGGGATCAACTTTGCCTTTCCTCCTTTTACGTTTTCCAGGAATTTATATCCATTTGTAATATGGTAACAAAACTGTACAGCATAATCTAAATGAGGCCTAACCAAAGATATATAGAGTTGAAGAACAACCTGAGAACTTCTATTATTTATACTTCTTCCTATGAAGCCATGGATTCTGTTAGCTTTATTGCGAACACTAATGTACTGTTGTCTTGGTTTCAGATTACTGCTAACCAGAACTCCTAAATCCTTTTTGCAATCCATAATATTAATATCAAACATATTTATTTTTATATGTGGCTGGTTATTTTCTGTCCAACATTAGAACTTTGCATTTGTCAATTTTAAAACCCGCATCTGCCACTTCCAGACCACTGCATAAGTCTATTCAAATCATCCGGGGAGTTTACCTGGAGTTTACCTGGAGAGAGTTCCGGGGGTCAACGCCCCCGAGGCCCGGTCTGTGACCAGCCTCATGGTGGATCAGGGCCTGATCAAACAGGCTGTTACTGTTGGCTGCATGCAATCCAACGTACGAGCCACAGCCCGGCTGGTCAGATACCGACTTTAGGTGCTCGTCCAGTGCCTGCTTGAAGACAGCCATGGGTCTGTTGGTAATCCCCCTTATGTATGCTGGGAGGCAGTTGAACAGTCTTTGGCCCCTGACACTTATTGTGTTGTCTCTTAAAGTGCTAGTGACACCTCTGCTTTTCATTGGGGGATGTTATAACGTCTACCGAGTCTTTTGCTTTTGTGGAGAGTGATTTTCGTGTGCAAGTTTGGAACTAGTCCCTTTAGGATTTTCCAAGTGTATATAATCATGTATCCCTCCCACCTGCGTTCCAGGGAGAACAGGTTCAGGAACTTCAAGCACTCCCAGTAATTGAGGTGTTTGATCTCAGTTATGCATGCCATGAAGGTTCTCTGTACATTTTCTAGGCCAGGAATTTCACCTGCCTTGAAAGGTGGTATTAGTGTGCAGCAATATTCCAGCCTAGATAGAACAAGCGACCTGAAGAGTGTCATCATGGGCTTGGCATCCCTGGAGTGATAAATGTCTTAAAAAAAAGCCGTCAAATTGAAAATTGAGACACTTATGCAACATACGGGATTCTTTATTGAATAAATGTTTCCCACAGTGCCTTCATCAGTCCAATACAATTCAGAAGGGTGTAAGGAGAGGAGGAATTTGAGGTAATCAGTCCCTCAGACTGGAGTCGTTGTGTTCAGTCCATCAATCTTGTAGAAAGTACAGCATAGGGCCGTAGACGTGGCTTATATACTGTAGTCAGGTGAGGCGAAGCAGGAGGAGGCGGGGTCATATTGGTACCATCCACTAATCGAAGTAGGTCTTCGTCCAAAGGTTGGATAAGTTTGAAGAATTCTTTGTATCAATATCCCATGATGCTGCAGTGTCTGACAGATGTGATAAATGGTTTAAAAAACCGACAAGTTGAAGATTGAGACACTTCTGCAACATACGGGAATCTTTATTGAAGAAACGTTTCGCCACACAGTGGCTTCATCAGTCCAATACAAAGTAGAAAGGTGTAAGGAGAGGAGGAGTTTGAGGTAATAAGTCCCTCAGCCTGGAGTCGATGTGTTCAGTAGTATGCTGTACATTCTACAAGATTGATGGACTGAACACATTGACTCCAGGCTGAGAGACTGATTACCTCAAACTCCTACTCCCTTACACTTTTCTACTTTGTATTGGATGATAAAGCCACTGTTTTGGCGAAACTTTTTCTCCAATAAAGATTCCCTTATGTTGCATGTCATAATCTTAAAACTTCTCGGTTTTTTAAACCCATTGATCAATAACCATGTTGCTTTGGCCTCCCTTTCATGGTGAGCGAAAAACTCATGACACCTTAATCCACTGGACCATACAATCCTTAAGAGTAGCATATCCAGCAGAACTGGATGTTGTACTCGTGCCCAAGTATATACGATGGTGTGGGATGATTCTTGGCAAATTTCATTCTGGTCCCTGTTTGGTGTACTAATACAACGAGCAGTATTTTATATTACTGTGCCCACGAACAAGGGGTTTATTGATCAATACCAAAAATGCGACTAGCCAAGGACTCGAACCATGCTGCTTTGGCCTGCTGTGGAGCGCACATCACTCCAGGTACTTCCTCCAAACATTTCCCCATATCGGCAATGGGAACGCGCCTCGCCCCTAAGCCCCTCCATATTGCAGTGGCTCTATGAGTTGCTGTCCCAATTTCACGTGGAAAAAAACGTGGATTTGCGGGGTGCACAAGCCGACCAATATGGTCAACATGGTCTTAACTGTTCCATAACCAAGGGCTGGCATGCAAGACACAATGAGGCCCAACGACATCATAAAGAGAACCCTTGCTACAGCTGGATGCTTAGCCAACAGGGAGCCCCGATCACTAGCAGTCAAAAATACCACAACCCACCAAACCACCCTGATGGGTTCCCATCTACCTTGGAAAGAATGGCAAGCTCTTAGCATGGAACTATACATGTGTGTCCACATGGGTGATACCTATATCACACAGTGTCGGGTGATAGGGAGGAGCTACTTTCCACAGGGAGGAGTACAAGATCCCACAAGTACAGAGACATAAGCCAACAGTATCAAATTTTTCCCAGTGGGATCAGAGACCTTGGGATCATGGGTAAAAATGCTACTTGTTTCCTTAAAGAACGGGGTTCCAGACTCATCGACACCACCAGGGGCCCAAGAGCAGCCACTTTCATGTTTCAGGCCTCAGCGTGGCCATCCCTACTGGGCCGCGTCCGGCTTCGGAGGAGGCAGAGTGGCCCGAAAAAAGAAAAACTTTCTCAAACATTCACTCCATTACTGTCTTGCCAGAAGGGTGCTTTACACTATGGTTATAAAGCTGCAACATTAACCACCCTCTTCAGAGTGTAGTCACTGTACTTTCCCCTCTCCCGGACTCAAGTCCGGCCTGCCGGTTTCCCTGAAAAACCCCTTTATAAATATTTGCTCACACTCCATCAGCACATCAAGTATTAAAACCATTTGTCTCAATTCACTCCTATCAAATACACTCAGGCACGCTTGCTGGAAGTCCAAGCCCTCGAAACAAAACCCCCTTTACCCCTCCCTCCAACCCTTCCTATGCCGACAGCTACCACACCTTCCTTCCAGTGAGATTTATACACTCTCGGAGTCATTCTGTTTGTTCAATTCTCTCACATGTCCAAACCACCTCAACAACCCCTCCTCCACAAACTCCTGTCTCCATTAGACTCCTTAAGTGCCCACCCATCTTTTCCCCTCATCAATTCTATGATTCACCTCATCCTTCATAGACCCATCTGTGATATATATACTCCTAAAAATCTGAATACATTCACCTCCTCCATACTCTCTCCTCCAATCTGATATCCAATTTTCATCACTAATCTTTTTTTTTCATTTATAACCTTACTCTTTCTGTAAATTTTTCTTTTAATTTTCTTCTTTTACATACCCTACCAAATTCATCAAACCAACCTATAAAACTTCTCTTCAGAATCTCCCAAAAGCACAGTGTCATCAGCAAAGAGAAAATGGGACAACTCCCACTTTGCGTTAGATTCTTCATCGTTTAACTCCGTGCCTCTTGTTAACACCCTCACATTCACTTATTACAGCTCCATCTATAAATATATTGAAAACCATGGTGACATCAGACATCCTTGTCTAAGGCCTACTTTTACTGGGAAATAATCTCCCTCTCTTCTACATACTCTAACTTGAGCCTCACTATTCGTAAAAACTTTCACTGCTTTCAGTAACCTACCTCCTACACCATATACCTGCAACATCTGCCACATTGCCCCCCCTATCCACCCCATCATATGCCTTTTCCAAATCCATAAATGCCACAAAAACCTCTTTACTCTTTTCTAAATACTGTTTACCTATATGTTTCACGGTAAACACTTGGTCTACCACCCCTACCTTTTCTAAAGCCCCTTGTTATTGCTATGCTACTCTCCGTCCTTTATATTATATATTTTATATAATATATATATATATATATATATATTTATATATATTTTATATATATTTTATATATATATATATATATATATATATATATATATATATATATATATATATACCTCGGAGAAGTGGATAAAAAGGCTTCAAGGAAAAATATTTGGATTTCTTCCTGAAGCCGTTTGAATATTCCACTTCCCCCACCACCCCATCTTTTTATATTTTTTTTTTTACTAATAGGAATATTTTATTACATAATATGGTACAGAAGATCCAAGAGATACACTATTGATGTAAAGGTGGCACATACGGTACATGTTGTTACGTGTGTATCACCGATTATAAGGCGAAA